CATTTTGCTCTCAATTCATTTCTTCCTATAAACCTACAACAGTAAATAAATAAATCAAAATTGCAAATGGGACGTTTGCTGCTATTGCGGGCAATGGAACCGTCAAACTTTCAACCAATATTATTCTTTCCAATGTCCATGTCCCAAAATTAACCTGCAATTTGTTGTCAATTAGTAAACTTACATGTGACCTTAACTGTCAAGCTAATTTCTCATCTTCTTTGTGTCGTTTCCAGACCTAACGATGATTGGCAGTGCTAAGGAATGTGGAGGGTTGTATTACTTTGAAGATGAATTCAAGTATGGTTGCAAAGAATTCTTATCATAAGTTAGAATCTATCTCTAGTGATCAAGATATTTGATTATGGCATTCTCGTTTGGGACATCCTAGTTTCTATTATTTAAAACACAAGTTTCCCATGTTATTTATCAATGAAGACCCCTCTTTCTTCCGATGTGATACATGTGTTTTGGCAAAACATCACAGATCCTCTTATTTGCCTAGGTCTTATGTTCCATCTAAACCATTTCCACTCATCCATGGTGATATTCGGGGTCCATCATGGATTCTGAAAGTTTCTGGAAAAAGATGGTTTGTTTCGTTCATCGATGACCATACACGGCTAACTTGGATATTTTTGATGAAAGAAAAACATGAAGTTACAGACATTTTCAAAAATTTCTACACCATGGTTCAAAATCAATTTAATGAAAATAACTGCATTTTTAGGAGTGACAATGGTAGGGAATTCTTTTCCAAAGTTTTAACCAATTTTTTCTCTAAAAAAGAAGTCATACAACAATGCGCTTGTGTTGACACACCACAACAAAATGGTGTGGCAGAGAGGAAAATCAGGCACTTATTTTAAGTCACAAGAGCACTTCTGTTTTCAAATAATGTACCAAACAAACTTTGGGGCGATGCGCTTTTAACTGCTTGTTTCTTGATTAACCGCATGCCCTCTAAAACCCTACAATTTGAAACTCCCCTAAATAAACTTTGTGACTAGATCCCGGATTCAGAACTTTTTTTGAATTTACCTTTAAAATTATTCAGGTGCACTGTTTTTATCTCGAATCAAGATAAGACAAAGTCTAAACTTGACCCCAGAGATTGAAAGTGTAATTTTTCTAAGGTATCCAGCCTCTCAAAAAGGCTATAAATGCTTTGATCTGGTCTTGAAGAAATATTTTGTGACCATGGATGTCGTGTTTTTTGGAAAAACGCCTTCCTTCTCTCCTCATTTTTAGGGGGAGAATTTGTCCAAGGCGAGTCAGGAAGATTCGGAGATAAGTACCGATGACCTTGATTTTTTACGTACGAATCTCGACTGGAAAATAAATTCAAATGATGAATCTACCCTACAAAGCAATCTTGATCACACACAACATAATCCAAACAATGACAAGAAGTTTGGCCAAACATACATCCGCAAGCATCCATCTAAAGTAATAAATCCCTCCAATCTTATGCATAGTCAAGAAGAAGCCTCAAGGACAGGTACAGTTCCTCATAATCATAGTCCATCAAATCTTGATGTTCCAATGGCTCTCAAAAAAGGAGTGAGAAAATGTCAATTAGATATCCTATGTCTAACTCTGTCTCCTTACAGAACTTGTCTCCTTTTTCTTGTTTTATCTTACACCTTAATCATGTGGAAATTCCAAAGTCTATACAAGCTGCTTTGGAGAAAATGAATGCTCTCAGGAAGAATCACACATGGATAAAAGTAGCTCTTCCACCTGGAAAAAAGCTAGTAGGATGTAAGTGGGTGTTGACGATCAAGTACGATGCTGACGGAAATGCTCGAAAGATACAAAGCTAGAATGGTAGCAAAGGGCGACCATACTGAAACAGTTGCCCCTGTGGCAAAATTTAACACTCTGAATTTTATTATTTGTTGCAGTAAATTTAGACCGACCTCTTCACCAACTAGACGTGAAGAATGCTTTCCTAAATGGAAATCTTGAAAAGGAAGTATTCATGGAGCCTCCCCCAGGCTTCGAGACTGAGTTTGGTTCCCATGTATGCTTGTTAAAAGGGCCATTTCTGGTTTGAAGCAATCCTTTCAAGCGTGATTTGAAAGATTTACAAGTTCAGTAAAACATCAAGGATATGCTCAAGGCCAAACTGATCAAACCTTGTTCTTTAAAAGGAAGAACGTTAAGATTACTATTTTATTGGTGTACGTGGATGACATCATCGTCACGGGTGATAACCATGAAGAAATAGATAACCTGAAGGCAAGTCTTGCACGAGCATTTGAGATCAAAGACTTGGGCCACTAAAGTATTTTTGGGACTGGAAGTTTCAAGATCGGAAAAGAGGATGATTGTAAGTCAGCAAAAATATATCCTAGATCTTCTTTCTGATAGAGGTATGACAGGTTGCAAGCCAATTGACACACCTGTAGACCCCAACAAAAAGCTACTTGATGATGTTGCAGGTGATCTGATTGATGTTGGAAGATTTCAACGTTTAGTTGGAAAGTTAATTATTTGTCTCACACGAGACCAGAAATTGCTTTCAATGTCAGTCTTATCAGCCAATTTATTCACTCTCCAAAGAAGGTCCTATTTAGAAGTTGCCAACCACATTCTAAGATATCTCCAAAGAAAGGGACTACTCGTTGAGAAAAAAAAAACTCAAAGAACTGTTGAAGTATATATTGATGCTGACCGGGCAGATTCGGCCACTAATAGAAGGTCTGTTAGTGGATATTGCTCTTTTGTATGGGGAAACTTAATGACTTGGTGGAGAAAAAAGCAAAATTTAGTGTCACGCAGCAGCGCTGAGTCGGAATTTTGTGCTATGGCCAATGGAATTTGTGAAGCACTTTGGCTCAAGCGAGTATTGGAAGAGCTTCAACTACAGTTGGATAGTCTTATGAAACTATATTGTGATAACAAGGCTGCCATAAGCATTGCTAATAATCCTGTGCAACATGATCGGACTAAGCACGTGGAAGTTGACGGACACTTCATCAAAGAAAAGCTAGACAATGGAATGATACGCACGCCATATGTTCCAATCACGCAACAATTAGCAGATATCCTTACAAAGGGATTGTTCAAACCGAGCTTTGATGGAATCATAAGCAAGTTGGGTCTTATAAATATATATGCCCAACTTAAGGGGCAGTGTTGTTTTATATAATTATGTAAATTATAGATAAATATGTAAACTAGAATAATTAGCTGTAAATTAGCTAAATTTATTTTCTTTCCTAGTTGTAAGGATACATTTCCTATCAAGAAGAAAACTAGTTATGTATTTTTTATGGTACCTTGTAGATGGGTTTACAAAAAGATGGAAAAAAATAATTGATTTCTCCAAAATTACACATTATTTTCGTGTAATGAATTTGGTGTAACACTATTCACCAACACTAATTTTCTGTTAAGATTTTGATATTTAGAAAATGGTCCTCCAATGTTAAGATTTTTGTATTGTTGTTTTATTTCATTGTCTAATAACATTTGAAAATATTATAATCATATAAGCCTAAGTTTTATATTAAATTTTTTATATATTTGTCTAACTTTAAGAAAAAGTATTAATTTCTTTTTTTTTTTACAACACAATAACATATTTAATTAAAACACACCACTAACATATATTCTGTTATGAATAAGTTAATTCAATTTTAAATAAAATGGTAAGAAAGTTATGATAAAAATAGAAAATATATGGTATGATTTTTTGAAGTTAATAAATATACAAGGTGGTATTGAAAATATATGTAATCAAGATAAATAAAATAATTTGAATATTAATTTCTGGTGTATAAAATAGTATAATACATTGCAAATAATTTACTCCTGATATCAGTTGTTGGTAGAATTTAGTGTTTTTCATTGGAGATGCCTTTAGTTTGTTAGAATAATTATCTTATTTTTCTTATGATGAAAATTTTAAATGAAGTAAACATTGAATATATATTTGGGTGAAGCTGTAACATTTGTTTCTAAGAAGTTGAGTTATTTTCAAAAGTTCACCAAAATTTAAGATCTTGAGTGCACATTTCGCTGATGATTTTCCTGAGATTTCACTCCCACTGCCTCAGCTTTGTTTTCTCTCACGCTATTCACTTGTTCTCTCTTCTTTTTTAACCATCTCTCTCTCCAGGCTATATCAAAGAAAATTTTGAAAAATCCAGGGGTGCAGCTGCACCATCTTGCTGTAATGTGGCTCCGCCACTGATCACAGATATTGGATTCACAGATAGCACGGTGCGCAGATTCATAACCAACCCAATAGATAGAAAAAGCAACCTACCAAATTCTTTGGTACCTGAAGGAAAATCCAAGCAAAGGACATCACTTCAAAAAGCTCACAGAGAGGGGTGTCGGAATCTACAAAGATGCGGATTGGGGAAGCTCCTTAACTACCATAGATCAACACTCAAGATTGTTAAGAACAAATCGATTCATTTTGCTCAACACTCAAAAGTCACATCTCTTGTAAGCTATTTTTCCTTAAATGACAACAATGGCTCTCCAATCTTCCTAATCCTTACATAGCTAATGTTCTTTTCTTTTCATGAACATGACAGCCTCTTCCACCGGAAGGTAGATGAGGAGAATTGATAATTGCATTAAGTCAAAAAATAAGGTCACTAGATAGAAAGTTATTGAGTTCTATAGTTCCTCACTGTAACTTGGACAGTTGTCACCCCAAGAAACACATATCAACAAATAAACCATCAAAATTGTGTTCTAACATGTTGCAAAGTCAAACATTTATTGTGCACATGAAAAAATTTAATCTATTTTGATTACCTATCAAAATGTGCAAGAAGAAAACTACTTACAACCAAAGGCAAAGGGTTATTGGCAGGGTGGTGCCTAGTCATTGGTAGAGCCCAACCTCCCTAGAGGTCAAGGGTTCAAGCCTCACCAAGGTGAGGAATGTGCCTGAGTTTTACCGTAAACAAAATATCATATACTTCCAAAAAAGGTAACTACTTACAATTACTAATTTTGTTGGATCTACATACCGGAGCATGGGTGCTTGAGTAATGTTCTTCAGCATGCTTTTTGGGAACCATATCACCACAGATTTTACATTTTTCTAAATTGCGGGAGCAGTGAGTGTAATGCAGATCAAGATTTGAAGAGGGAATAGCTCTGTCACTGTACACAAAACCAAGCATTGTGATTATTCAGTGATTACTATGAACACAGGAACAATTAGCTTTAAAAATAGCAACAAGTTCTTGACACACACAAATAAAAATCAAATAGCATAACCTTACGTAAAGAGATTCAAGAATGATGGACAGAAAAAACAAGAAATGCGAAAAATATACAGCAAAAAAATTTCAACAATTAAATGATTAATAAATAGTATTGTTAAGTTACTGGTTAGCCGAATCAGAATGGGAACTGCGTAAGAAAAAGGAATGCAGGTTGAAATAAGGAGAAATCTAGAGGGGGAATAATTAGGTTCAAGAATAGGTTATGGAAGCATTAAGAAATAAGATTAGTTGAAAGTCTTTCTTATCAAGAGAATAGATGCCTAACAGTGGTTGCTGCATTTGACTAACTCCTAGTGGAGTTGATGGATATCTCCTTGTAACCTTGGATCCAAATTCTAAGGAAACACAATAGAATATAAGATCGGGCCATCCGCTCTTAAGTCTTTCTTTACTAGACTTCCCATTTTCATGTCTTGCTGAATTAAAAGTTCAATGTAGAGTGGGGAATAAAAGAAAACTTCTTTTGTTGGGATGCCGATAAAAGATTCATCTAGGAACAAGTTCATCTTGGATCTCAGTTATTAGCTTCAAACTCCATTCATATTTCCTTTGTCTTTGTAATTTCAAGCAAATAATTATCAGATGGCACACACAAAGCATATTTGTGTAAGTGGTCGAAATGGGTTGGATTGTGTTAAAAGGTGTGAGAGAAAGACAAGCAAGCCCTATCCCGTGCCCTCTAAATAAGAGAGTGACCAAGTGTTTTTGTCAAAGTATTATGAGAGCCTACTGCCAAAGGCCTTCTGTATGTGATAAGTGATAACAGATGCAAGTCTCACAGCCTCTCGTTCCTATGGAGAAGTAAATAGAAAAGCACTAATGGCATTAAGAAGGGCAACCATCATCAGCCTAGTGGAGGAACACAGTATAGTTTCTCTTTCATGCCCTCACTATTTTCCTTATCTGTTAAGCTTATCAAAGACAATAGCAATCACATTGAAAAAGATGTTTCATGAAAAAAATCAATTGAGTGAAAGAAGTGTGAAGTTAAAGAAAAGGTGGACGAATTACTTTCCTGAGTAGATAAACAGAATGTGGTCAGAAGAATTTAGTCTTACTGTTCTTTTTCCAAAAAAAAAAAAATTTACTCTTACTGTTTATTATATTTGAGAAGCAATATACAGAGTTATGCAGTGAATCCTCCAATAAAAAAGACAAAGGAAAGCTAAAAATTAAGCCAATATGTATAATTGATCATTACTAATTAACATGTAATGATATAGCTAGTATCTCCAATCCAACAGAAGGAAGCCAAGCATGGCGTTCATCTTTGTGCATTGCGTATGGATGACAAATAAGAGGCAGAAAGAAGGTAGTTCTTGCCAATGATACCAGCAGAATTAGGTAAGCACTAATGATAGTCCACATTTGGGGAAATGCACCTAAAGAGTTGCACATTAAGTACGAGAATATACGGAGTCAATTTAACTTCCTGCAGCATATCAAAGAACGACCCAGAGACCTACTTTCTTATATTCTTAAGAGATGGGCTATGCAAACCATTTGTTGAGGATATCCGGCATAGAATCATCAGTAGCTATGCATCAAAGAATGTTTCAACGAACGTGAAAACTATCAAAATAAAAAAATATGACAGCAGTAACTTTGATTATGTTACCAGAGGGACTTTGGCTAGGACAAAAAATAAGAAAGCATCAAGTGTATATTACATGTATATACAACAACTGCACCGATTCATAGATTACACAGATCCATAATAAATTTCACATGTATTTCGTAACTCAAAGTCAGCTCATAGAATTAAAAATCCAAACACCAAAGGTAAAAGTAAAGTTAAGATAAAAAAAATCACAGATAGAAATCAGACCTCGATAAGAACGATGATACACATACGGATACAAACACTCAACCAAGCAATAAAATTTAGAAAGAACGAACAAGGAAACCCCATTATTACCAGTGACTGCAAATTTTGGTGGCGTCGTCGTGATCAGAAGCTACGGCCATTGTCACAATTGCAGATAAAAGTGACAAAAAATTCTCAAAATTATCTGCAAAGATAATATTACGAAATCGAAGCAAATTAGTTGAGTTAGGTGAAATTCAAATGCTTTATAAGCTCGTCAACCTCCCAAGATTACGCGATGATTATCAAATTAAATAAATATAAGACAAACTGCATACCTATAAAAATCGAAACCCTAAAACTACCTTCGATTTTGAGAAATCGATCGCTCTTGTTTTCCCCAAAATTGTAGACTTTTTTGGCACCAAATCCAAACAATTAGTCCAGTTTGGCGATTTGCCTTTTCCTTTTACTTTATGAGTTTTATTTATATGAGGTTGGTTTGTCGACGCGAGTATATCGAGCGTGATAAGAACTCGCCTCATTTTGTAGTGTACTCTTCTTGACCGTTGGGTTGGATTGTTGAGAGAGCAGTAGAAAAAGGACGCACACATCAGTCGCTTCAATTTGGCTCTCTTTGTGTACTTTCCTTGACAAAATGATGTAATGATTTGTTCAAATTAGTAGATAAAATAGTAGATAAATTAGTAGAGCTCTCCAACGGATGAATCATAATTTTAAAATATTAGTTTAGTTTTGAATAATGAGTTTGTATTGTTATTTTGCAAGTCAATTAATATATAAAGTTAAAGGTTAGTATGGTGTATTAACAAGATCGAATGAAAAAATAATTGCACACGTATTGGGTTTCTAAACTCATATACTCAAAACTCATTACAAAACTTAAAAATTTTTACTGAACTAAAAAATACAATTATTTGTAAATAATGTTCATTTATATATCTAAAAAACGACGCAATAATTTTAATAGAAACATATAGTACCAAATGTGTAGTAATATAATTGTTGATTATATCAATCATCACGTAAAACTTTTTGATAGACGACATTTGAGGTGTAGATTATGATACATTTTAATTTTTTCAGAGGCTTCACTAACACCTTCGTATTGCCCCGTGATATACCACTGGACAGCGTCACGTAAAGTTGTAGGGGTGTAAATGATACGAGACAACTCGCGAGCTATTCGAGATCGACTCGGTCATAGATAGGTCAAAACTCGACTCGAAAAACTCACGAGATACTCGATTATTTTATATATAATTAGTTTTAAAATATAATCAGTTTTTATGATAAAGTTTGTAAAATATAAATAATAAAAATGTCTTATATTTTTAGATATTTAAACAAAATTATGCAAATCAATTATTTTTTTAAATCACAATTAAAAAAAAAGACAAAGAAAAACTATAAAAAAGGTTAGTGAAATTGTCCCACATTTGAAGATAGATGGTAAAGGAGGGGAGAAAAAATGTTATAAAAAGAGAGGGGTGAATGAAATTTCTAACTTTGTCTTTTCGATGATGAAGTTTGAAGTCGATCATTTAGTTTTATAAAAACTAAGAGAATATCTTTAAGTTTTAAAATTTATATAAGAGAAAAACCCTAAAATTTCATAAATTTCAATGGGTGAGCTTGGTTCGAGTTTGATTCGAGTTCGGGTTCGAGTTTCATTCGAGCTTAGTTTGAGCTTCATTCGAGTTCGAGTTCGAGCTTGAGAAATAGTTATCGAGTTCGAGTCGAGCTTTGATTTTTACTACTCGTAAGTTTTCGAGTCGGTTCGAGTTTGGAAATTGGGTTTCGAGTTTGAGTCGAGTATAGTGATACTCGAGCTCGACTCGCATCATTTACACCCTAGTAAAGTTGTCTTTGTGAGAATACTGATTCTAGTAGATAAACATTTACATTCAAAATTGTTTGGCATTAAGCTTTATTGATTGTCATAGAAAAGTTAAGCCGAATGATAAACTAATATTAGTAAAATAGCAAATTCAATATATAAGTTTGTATCTTTTAAACATGATATAAACACAAAATTATTTTTCTTTGTTAAAGATTTATCATAATTTTGAAAACATAAAAAACCTTGGAGAACTTTTTGAACTAAAGATATATTATATATTGGTCTTTCGCGAATCACAAAAGAAAATAAGTCTTTATTACCACATTGTGTTAGTAGCAACACCACAGTGAGAGAAAGAGAGAAATATAAATATATATATATATATATATATATATATATATTAGAAGGAGACTAACACAATACAACAAGATATTTTAATTTTAATGTTTTATTTTATTCTTTTTTTTGTATATATAATACGGTTTTTTTGTGATTTTAGAAAACAATAATATTTTTATTTTTTAATAAATATAAATTTGAAAAAAAAAATATCGATATTAATATTAAATTAATTATTTAAAAGTTCTTGTTTTTCATGTAATTTTTTAATTTATTTTTTATTATAATTTAATTTAGATCTAATAACAAAATAATTTATTTTTGTTTAATAATATAATTTTTATAAGGATAATAATTAATTATTTTGTTAAAACTCAATGATTATCTTAATTATATTTTAATTCTATATATTTAAAGTAAGATGTTTATCCTATTTTTGATTATGTTTATTTACAGTTAGTTACACGAATTCAAAAATGAAGCTTTAATAAGTTGTACTTATGCACAATTTACTTGTAATATTGAATTTTAAGTAATATGCATCAATAAACAGTACTTCATGCATAAAAAAATAGTTTTTAAGAGTTTTTGTCAAATGATTTATAATATAGTATATATATATATATTATATATATATAGAGAGAGAGAGAGAGAGCGCAATTAAACAACATAAAAGAGAAGGAAAAACCCTCATTTTCGAGTTGAGTTAAGAGCAATTAAAATTATACATTCGATTACTTGCTAATAAAGGAGAGAAAAACAAGACAGAAACAAGAGAGAGAGAGAGAGAGAGAGAGAGAGATCCGAGCTTATTCAGTTGCCTGTGAAGAAGAACAACTACAAGAAGAAGATGATCCGTAGAAAGACCTTTTGAAAGCTTTTAATGTTTATCCAAGAAAACCCATCAATTTCTTGGATCGATTCAGCTCCTACAGGTATCTTCATGTTATTTTTCTTGAAAAAAATTCTAATGTTTACCAGAAAAGAGATTGACACAATATGGATTCTTCTACTTTTTTCGAATTTTAGATTCGAAATATGGGGTAATTTCTTGATTAAAGAATAAATAACTTAGAGGAGAATGGATTTGTTTTCTTGGTTGAATTCTAACTCATTTGATGGTATGATTTAGTGAAATATGTTCTTTATTTCTTATGTTTTAGATTAAGCAAGATACTTTGAACTATTATCGTGAAGAAGATTTGTAGATTATAGAAGTTTCTAGAAATATTTGGTTGATTTTTACGAAAATGGGTGAATTCTTAACATAGATTTCTAAGAACACAAAAATTCAAATGGAAGATTGGTCCAAATATTCCCATAGTCCTGCTCATTTAGTTGTGTTAGTATATTTGTGAATGACTTATAATAAAGGTTCAAGAATCTGGAAACAATGACCTTATGGTTGTTTTTTAAAACCCAAAAAAGCAATAGAACATGGAAATCCTTGATGTTTTATAATTTTTTTTTTACTTTTATGGGTTTCTTGATACTATTATCTTGTATGGGTATTGTTGTATGGAGGACCTTCTTCTGCATTTTCTGATTCAGATCCTTAATATGTTAAAGGCACATGGCTGATTGTCACTCTTGAAAACTAAACAGATACCTTAATATGTTAGCTATTAATTCGTTCAATTTTTTGCATTTTCTATATCAGACCAAGGAAAATGGATTAGTAAAAAAAGAGGCTAAAAGAGTATTATTATAAAAGGCGGAATTTGGTGTATCCACATGACCATATTGTTGGTTTTTCATATAAAAGCCAGGTACTTACTACCCAGAGCTAAATCAAGCTGGAGCAGAGTAAAGGAGAGCAACTTCAATCGATATGATGGAGCCAATGTTTCTTGTAAAGTTAAATAGAAAAAACGAAACAGAGGTGGTGAACTACAAAATAAATCGAGTATACAATGTTTATGAAGATCCTAAACAGAGGTGGTGCACTACAAATCAAAATCAAAATGAAACTCAAACTCAACTTATTACCTAGAGCTGAAGTTGAAGGATATGGGAGCTTACAACTGATGTTGGGTTAGGAAATGAAAAAACCAAACCTCCTACAACTTATTATATGCTACAGCTGATTTGGAGCCACTCAATACAGTCGTCCTAGTATGCTTGATATATCAAAACAGGGAGGAAAAAAAAAGCCTCTTCTTTAAGTAACATCTGTAAGTTACCTCTTCAAAAAATCCCTTTCCTTCTCCAAGTTTGATGATACATTATATCTGATATATCTGATATACATTAACTCTTTGACCTCACCCTGATAGAGAGTAGGAAAGGGAAAGGTTTTAAAAAACTAAAAAAGGAAGGAAATACTTTTTTTTAAAGAAAGAAATATTGGTGTTGATCATATTTGTTGGTGGAAAGTTCAAAAAGATTGCATCAATGACTTGTACCCAATGCATCATAATTAATAATTAAGAGATTTTCAATTTTTATGCTTCAAAAAACAGTACTATATGTTTGTTGTGTTGTAATTAAGACTTTGATGTTAATGAATATTAAGGTAGTGTAGATAAAATAAAGTAACAAATCTAATGTTTCATGGTTAAAATTGTCTTAAATATCAAGATCATAACATTATCATATTCTGAAAAATATGTCTACGGATGTTTGATTTATACAATATCTTTTAAAAAAATAAAATTTGTTAAAAGAATTGGAATATAATTACAACAGTTTTGATCAAATGATTGCAACGGAGAATTTATGAAGGACTTAGAGGGTCCATGCTCCCATATAACATATTTTTGCAATCAGAACTTTTTGGGATATGAAATATATACATGTTAAACTTTGAGCGATGCTTTAAGATATTAGAAAATACAAAGGACATCAACCACAAAAATCCTTTGAAATCAACTAAAAACCGAAAAAAGTTATTCGAAATCAATTAAAAACCAAAAACGTCATCGAAATCAACTAAAAAAATTCCCTTGAAATGGTGGATTTAGGATAAAGACACAGTGGGCTTATACCTAAAACATAGTTTTAAATCTTTGATCCACAATTAGCTTTTCTTTGGATTAAACCACACTAACTTTTATTTAGGATTAAACCTTTGATCCACCTTAAATGTATACCCATTTGACAAAAATTCTAAATATCATTGATTTGATTGACAAGAAATAGAATATAATTTATCAAATAATTACAATGTCTCTGTCTAATTTACAACATATAGTTTATGAACATGAAAGAAATAATGAAAAAGAAGACCAACATATCCTTTT